GACCACGGAGATGATTCAAGGTAACTTGTGTGCCTTTGTCAGCCAGCTGCCCACGAGAATTTTTTTTTAAATTTTATTCCTGAATGATGCAGTCTAGAGTCTAGCAACATGTGCTTGTCATCATAATTTTCATACTTTGCTTTCAGTGGGTGACAAAACCATACTTGTGTTTAACAAGGTGCAGTTTTCCCATACAGTCATTACACAAATCTTCCAAAAAATTACCGCTACATTCAGTGCTCTATGCATCAAGGACATCAATTTCTACCTTAGAAAGGAAAGAAAAAGGCTCCATTTGGTTGCATACGGTCATTAAAATAATACCTACTTTCATAGCCACAGAAATCAGCTAAGTGTAGCTATCTGATTCCTTTGTGTCTGGTTATAGTGACGTTAAAAATTTGGGGATTTTCGTCTTCTTTTTTTCTGTTTGGTTTTCCTAACAGTTTTTCTCAGATTGCAAGTCAAAAGTGCAACCCTCCAGATGTCCCCCTGCACCCTGAGCACAGGCCATGGTTTCTCCTGGCCTTTTGAGTCCAGTATGGCTGGATCTGTGGTGCTTGAATCATGAGGAGGATCACCCAAGCTGTGAGAGGGGCAGGAGCATCTGCATGTTACCCAGTGAATATTTGCCTCCTGAAAGACCATTATTTCTTTCTCCTTGTGATCACACCCTGCAAATCCTTCACTTAGGAAATCTAGTATCAGGAAGCCTTGACCTGAGCACTGGCCTTTCCAGAAACCCAATTTTGAATGTAATTTTGGATATTAGAGCTGACCTGGTAGCTGTGTTTTGCTCTGAGCTTTGGTTGAATACCAGTGGCAACAAGGAGACACGGGACTGTTGTTGTACCAGTATGGTTGCAGGGAGTATTTTTGTAGAGGTGTGAGTTCTGCTCTTAAATGTTTGCTGCTTGTGATGATATCATCATGCTGTAAAAGGTGAACCTGTGGGTTTGAACCCATCTTTTTTCCAACCCCAAATTCATGCTCCCACACGTACACGATAGGGGTTTGGAAACAGAATGCATTTCCTTTCAGTAGGGTGCCTTTGAGTAGCAGAACTGAAGGAACTGAAGGTGATTCAGCACAGCTGGATAGAAGGCAGTTCCCCTAACTAGCTAAAGAATGTGTGCTGGGCTTAGGTAGTTCCGCAGATGGCAGAGGAGGGATTTGTATAGGGGCAGCTATCGCAGGAATGTAGGAAAGCAAGGTTGACACAGAGCTGTGGCGTTTGCTGGGAGAAATCTGTGTTGCACCACAGATGCTGAGAGCCAAGGATCCAGCAGTAAGTGAATAAATAAAAGTAAGTGATGATAACTGCTGCCTGCTGAGGGTATTAGGCACAACGCCAATGCCAGGCCAGACAGCTGCCAAGGGTCCTGTCTCAAGAGTGCTCCCACAGGGAGGAGATTCCAGGTGGTTGGAAGGACAGGCACTTGCAGCCCTGCTCTTTCTGGTTTTTGGGCCCCTGGACATGCACTGACCTTTGTAATTGCAGCCCCAGTGATGCACACCCACACACAAGACTGCAGAATAGCCCCCCTTGCTGTCTCCCATGGTGTTTTGGGAGAGCATGCTGCTGTGATCTCGTGCTTACTTTATTGGGGTTTTGTTGGTTTTGTTACCAAGGCCATTTTCCTGCAAATGAGGTCATAGTTCCGTAGTCTACCTTTTCCTTCTGCTCCTGCCTCATCTGCAGACCTAATCTGCTCTTCCTAATAGTCCTGTTGGTTGCTATAGCAATGATAAAGTGGTATGAAAAAGCCAGGATGATACTTAAATGTATGGTGGTATCACATTTTTCTTTCTTTCTCCTGGGAAAAAGAAGCCAAATAATGAGGGGTTTGTTGGGATTTTTTTTATTTATTTTGGGGTTTGTTTGTGTATTACTGTTTTATCAAAAGCTTTAACTGTGGGCTTTTTGGACCCTCGGTGCAATCTCTCAGCACCCTTTTAGGCTGGGAATTTTGCAACTCAAGAGCAGTTAGTAAGAAACAAGAGACCAAATTTCTGAATACAGGGTACATATAATTTTATATTTAAGATGCCAAAGTTACATGTAATGTGTCATGCAGAGAGTATGAAGTTTGCCGGCTTACCATGACAGAAACCTGCTGCAGAGTGCTTAGGGCCCAGTTGGGTCCCTGAAAGCACTGAAAGATATCTGAACATGTTAGTAGAGGCTTTGTTTTGGATTTCCACCAGGACTTACTCAGCACTGCCATTGAACGTGGCATTTTGAAGAGTAAATTAAAAAATCCCGATGAAATCAAGGGAGAGGAAAGTAGAAAATGGAGTATTTTTGCTCAGTTGCTGCATACAAGAATGGGTGGCTGTAGTAGTATCAAGCCCTGTCTTTTACACACCCAAGAGCAGAATTTAGCTACTTATTCTGTATTTTCAACTTTTTTTGCCAAGTTTGTAGTCAGAATCATGGATCTGTATTAAAAGTTGGCTGAGAGCACCATATTTTTGTGAATTCAGCTCATTCCAGAGCCCACCAAGCTGGCAAATGTAGGCAAGCAAAACCTACATTTAAGTGCTTACACAGGTTGATCCCTTCTTTCTTGTCTCAGTCTGAGAGCATCCCTCATGCAAAACAGCTTTTCCTGCCCAGCCATGGTGGGATCAGCTTGTACCTGCCTGCTGGGGTTCACTAGACAAGATCAGGCTGTGGATATATTGAGTGAGATGCTCTTTATGGCAGCTGGCATTTAAAGATGCCGCAAGCTGAAGTGCTCAAAAGCCCACCGTGGGAATATTTTTCACATCAATTCTCATAGGAACTGAGTAGGACATTGGGTTAAATCTCAAATGGGAGGATTATATCACTTCTAAGTTTATGGTTGGCATTAACTCTGGACATTCTCATTACTTGTAAAAAAGTGAGTCCCTTTTTGAATCTTTTATGGCCTGACTTGATTAAAAGTGGGATGAAAGCAGAAACAATTTTAATGGCCTTAGTGCTCACTGGTATAAAACAAGCAGAAGAAGAGAACTGGTTCCTACAGTCCCTCATCCCAGATGTTTGTGAGATTTAGAGAAAACACATTACCACAAAGAAAGAATTGACTCATTTACCTATTAGTTACATTCAAGGTTACTTAGTTAAGCGTTCATGTAATGTTTTCTTACAGGAGACAGCTTTGTTTCCTTATTTTCAAACACAGCAGCTCATCTTGCTTTCCATCAGCATAGACAAAAATATCAGGTGAGAGAAAACAAGTCTTTTTTTTCCAGCTGCATGTGTCGAGGAGCCTCCCTGGCATGCAGCCCCCATACAACTCTGCCTTCTACTTTGTCCTGTGCTCAAAAGACCGATTAAGTGATCCGCTAATGCCATACGCCTGGGGCTGGGAGCTGCTGGGGGATGATGGGGGAGAGGCAAGAAACAGCCTGCTCTCTCTCCTCTACCTGCAAAAAAACGGGGAATACCATCCCAGGCCCGCATACAAGCACGGCAGGAGGCAGCCTCCACCTAGCCTGAGGTTTGGCCAGTTTTTGCCTTTCTGTAAATAATTAGTAGGTGTGAGCTTTCTGAGGACTGCTAAGGGGATTTGTACTAGCCAGAGGCCCTCAGGGCTTATATATCCTCAGCAACTCCATCCAAAGAGACTGTACCCAGTGCCCTACATACAAAGATAGCCTTTACCTCACCATGGGGCCACCTCACCTAAAAGAGGCACATGGGCTCTCCATGCCTCAGACACTGGTAAAAACATTTCTGAAAGGGTTACTGGTTTTGAGAACTGGCTTTTCAGTCACTTCTTTGGGTTGAGGCTATTGGATTTTGGTGACAGCCAGATCACCTGAGCCCTCTGACAGTCCTGTCCTAACTAGCTCTAGCTGCCCCAGCAGTACTTTCCTGGTAGAAAGGTTTTGTCTTTACAGTTTAGTCCTGGCCTTAAAAACCACAGTCATCCCTCCTGATGGATGACCAAAATGGCCCTGAAGGGCAAGTCTTTATTTGGTCATGTCTCTGGAGATTACACGAGGTTCAGAGCCAGGGCTTAAGGGTTTTTCATTCTGTAGGTCAGCTAAAAGGCAGGGAGAGACTTTGCTTCCTGTGTTGATGCCTGCAATAGGAATTGAGGTAGGTCTTGGCAGGCACCTGCCAAGCCGTGATGATCCCGAAGAGCACATGTCCAGAGGCTGCATCTCCAAGGGATACACCAAAGAGCAAAGGACAACTGCTGGCTGAGTGCTTGGAAACAGCAGCAAAGAGGTGTGGGAGTGGGGAAACAAGGTGTTTGTGGGGCACACAGAGAGCCTTTAGACTTGCACTTCGTGGCCACTCTCATTCCTGATAGAAATGCCTGACGGAGCTGTAGTGCTCTCACCTTCCAGGATGGATTCAGGTGGTTGTGGATGTTCTTGATGGTGATATCACAGAAGTAGCTGAAGTGAAATTTGCCCTCTTAGACATGAGAAACAGCTGTCTGAGAACTGCTGAGAGCCTTTGGAGAGGCTGCATTCTCCATCCTTTCTCTTGAATTATGCTTTTTTGATCTAGATGTGTTGTGAAGGACCGGTAAAAGAGATCCTAGCACATAGTGGGAGTTGAATGTGCTATTGTCTGTTAGTCATTATATATATATATATTTTTTTTTTATTCTTTTTTTATTCATTTGGCACTTTCCGGAGAGTTTTTCCCCCCACATTGTGTAGGCTGCCATCTTCCTTTCTTTCTTTGTAGCAAGCATGTGGGCGCAGCCTTGCTTACACTCCGAGCAACTGGGGAACCACCATAAATGTAGCTTATCCGCTTTCTGATACATTTTCTTTTGCGTTGGTTTGGATTTGTGCATCGTCAGTAACATCTGTTCTGCTTTAGTGGCATACAGTTTTCCGAGTCTAATTAGCTGGCTGCTTGTAATCAGGACTATTTCAACTGTTGTCATTCTGAATGTTCTTTTTCCCTTTTTTTTAATACCACATTTGCCTGATTGACCTTTTTTGTTGTTTTTTTTCTCTGTCTTTCTATCGGGCTGCTCCAGGAGCCATGGCTAATCATCTTATAACCAATGCTCTGCTTCGTCCTCATGGCACTAACAACCCTTATAATACATTGCTCGGGGAATCGGCGGTCTATAACAACCCTTCTGTCAGCATGTACAACGCACAAGGTGTGCTGGAGTTTCTCTCTAATTTTTCTAGTGAGAATTCCATTTTCTGTGGCTTATTTTGGCCCATTTCTTTCTTTTTTTTCTTCCTTTTTCTTTTTTCTCTCCCCACGCACACACACTTTTTTTTTTTTTTGGAACTGGGCACGAAAAAAAGATCCCCTCCCCTTCCTTTCATTTCAGTGCATCTTTCCATCTTCCAGATGCTATTTTTCCATGAGCGATCCAATTCACTTTGAAAGACTCTTGTTAGTTTTACTCAAAGCATTCATAGTGTTTTGATTTTGATTTTTTTTTTCTTTTTTAATTCAGTCTCCTTGCTTTTGTATTGCTTTGGACTTGTGTGTGTGTGTGTGTGTGTGTGTTTTGTCGGCCACATCCATTCCTCTCTTTGTTGTCAGCTCATTTCCTTGTTAAACCATTCATTTCAGAAACAGGAACACCGCTGAAGGTAAGTGAAGCTAAACTGGCCTTTGCTACCAAAGCTGCTCTCATTTGAAATGGCCTAGAGAAATGTGGTCAGCAGTGCACTGGTTTGCACAGGGAGTAAAATGCAAAATAAAACAAAACTGCCCTTGATCTCCAAGAAAAATGACAGTTGAAGCAAGAAGCGTAGGCTAGCTCCAAAGAGCAGAGCTGAGATAAGAAATGTTTTGCCGTTTGCATTTATACATTTTATCTGTGCAATTAGAGGGAAAAAAATAATAGAAAAAAGGTGCAGTGAATCTAGATAATCTTTGATATCCTCCTTTTGGCAACAGGTAAGAGACAGACAGAGTCAGTTGTACCTAGTGGAGGTTTCTTCTATGGAAATCACTCTCTTGTCACCTACATGTTTGTCTCTGCTCTGGCTTCTGTGGGAAGGGCAATGTTTGTAAGCTGATGTCCTGGTGCTTCTGTGAGGGAGAGGCAGATGTGTTTAAGTAGGGCCTGAGGATGAGATGGGGAGTGTGGAGCTCTGAAAGTTCCTGTCTCTTGGCTCCATCCTGCTCTGCCCCTTCCATGGGAATTTTTTGTTGTTGTTCTTATTTGTAAGGTGGCTGAATCACTGCAGAATCAATGCAGAATAGCACTGCATTCCAGTGCAAGCGTGCCAGCCCTCTGTCAGCTGTCCACTCTCAATGAAGGCATCACTTCCCAGTAAAGGATATCCGAGAGAGGGAAAATAATGATGGTTATAATGCAAGCAGGAAAGCTCCCTTTGTACTCTATGGTAGCATGTTGTTTATGACAGAAATAAATGTTGAACTGTGTCAGGAGGGTATTTGCCTTCAAAGCACAAGGAGAGCACACGTGTTTAACCTTTCTGCTTATTTCTGTTTATTAATTTCCTAAACTATGCTAACTTTGTGCGATAAATTTGCTTCCAAGAATGCTTTTCTTAAAAAGGGCTACTGTTAAACATTAAATACTCTGAATTTTAAGAATTTCAGTGTACTGCAAGTGTTGAAATGAGCTTTGATGTCCTGACTAGTTTCTTGCATGATAACCTTGAGGTGTGGGAGTCTTTTAAATCAAATGGCAACAGGTAATCCTGGGTCAGCATTTGCCTTAAGAGGAGTCCTGATGTTCAGGTCTGGGTGCTTCAACTGAACCCAGGTGATTTGGGCAGAAATGTGTTGTTACATGTATTTTAATAATTTTGTGTTCTTCAGATTTTTAATACTAGAATCTGGTACAGCTAACAGAATGTTTTTCCGCAAAAATAGCATAATTTTTTTGCAAGTGCTGTTCTGTTCAACGCAGGTAGATAAGTAACAGAGAAACCTATAGAGGCTTCATCTCTGGGAGGTAAAAAAAGAGAATGGGACCAGTACTGGTCCCATTTAAGCTCCTGCAGCTTTGCAAATGACTTCAGAGGGAGAGAACCCAACCCATTATTTTCAGGAGGCTGCAAGTTAATTAATGACCACAGAACTGGTATAGCTCTTAGTTTTCAAACTGGTTAGGTCCCTGGATAATTACTAACTGTGAATATTAGGATCCCGTGTCAGAAATGAAGGGTAGCAAAACCAACCAGGCCTATGGGGTTTATAGATGCTGCACCAGCAGGAATGCTAAAGCCAGGAGAGTGCATTGTAAAAGTAGATGCTGTCATCATCTCTGGGTGTGCCTTGGCTGTGGTTGGCATGCAGTGAGGCATTGTTAGCTAACATCATCCAGCTAACTCATTCCACATCACTAAGGCTGTCATTTTTTTTGCACCTTCATGTAGCACTTCTGGTGCTGGCCGTGGATGGGGCAGGACACCTAAGGAAAGAAGGACTGATCAGATCCACCTGTTTATTTTCATCTCTCAGTTACGTCTTTTAAAAGATCATTGCTGCCATATCTGAGGTAGACAATCACTGGGGGCAGGATGTCCTAAAAATTACCCTTGGAAAGAGGTGGGGAATCAGACCCTAAAAGGCCAGAATCCCATGTTCCAGTGGCATGAGCGATTCCTTGATAGGACACAGCGTGTAGAGGAAGGAGGTGGTAGGTGAGGGGCTGAGTACTCACTGTCATTGGAAGCTGAGTGACATACACTGACTCAGGATCTCCAAAGCAGGAAAACATCCCAACACCTTTTGTCAGAACTAATTTTGAGAGAAAGCATTCACAAGCATTAATGACCATTAACAAGCTCTGCTTAAAATCCAGCATGCCACAGACCACTGAAGAGTGGGAAGCTGAGCGTTATCACTGCCTCTTCATCTTACTCTCTGACTTTTCTTGTTTTAAGCCTTTCTTAGAAGTTTCATTTAGCAATGCCATTAGTCAAACTACTATTGCTCTTTTTTTTTTGTTTCTCTTTTTGCCAAGTCCATATAGTTTGCCATATGTTTGGTTAAAGTAAAAATCAGATTTACCAAAAGTTTGTAAAATGCCAGCAGCCCCATGATGAGCAAAGTCATACTCTTACAAAGCACTGTTGCAAAAGATGGACGGCAAAACATTTTTAGCAAGGAAACAGATTTCAGTTTCAACTGCCAGGGGTTATTATATCTAACAATAAGTAAAGCTATTAATTTTAAGACTCTGGAAGTGACAATGACAGTGCCTGTCTTTTCAAGCATGACCGTTATCAGCTTTAGACTTTTCTTAAATTTCCTGGCATTATTTCTTCATTTGTGTTGCACGCTGAACGTTTTATAATGGCATTGGAAAACAGTTTAAATGTGATAATTTTTTTAATGAAAATGTAGACTATTGAATATTGCGCGTAAAATATTTTTTTTTTCTGTCTAAAATGTCAATATTTTTAACCTGAAATAAACCTTGTAACAAATTCATGTATTCTGGGCAGTGGAAATTATTTCCGTTAACTCTCTTTTCTGCATATCATCAATTTGCTTTTTACTCATGTTTCTCCTACTGTCGCTGTAAGCTTACTTGTTGTTTTTTCTTTCCTTTTCTTCATGCTGTCGTTTAGAGCCCTACAGAGAGACAAGTATGGGAGTAAAGCTAAACATTGCATATCAAATGTAATTTTTTTTAGTTCACTTTTATTGCATCACATATAGATGATGTAGTTAATAAAGGAAATTAATCTCACAGTTTTGAAATCGAAAGACTATTAACAGACATATGTATATATATGTGTATGCGTGTGTATGTATGTATGTGTATATATATATGTATGTGTACATATATATATATATGAAATTAGATGATGCTTTCTTTGTTTATTTCTCATTTTTGTGGCAGCATTTACCCAGCATAGTTTCTCATTTAGTTGTGTATGCTTTTTGTTTTCTTTTTCCCCAAATTCATGTTTTTATTTGCGAGGTCATGGCATTTTTTATACAGCTCGTTTCATTGCAGCCCCCACTCTGTTTTCACCTGCAATGCCTCCCATTTTATTTCTGCACCAAACCCCAGATCTATGCATTGGCAGCAGGAGTGCAGTGCTCAGTGCCTCAATGCATACGTTACTCAACACAACCATCAAACAGACGCTGTTTTACCTGTCACCCATTACATACGGCCCTCCCCCAAAAATTCTCACTTTTCATTTCTCCCTAAGCATCGTGACTCGGTTGGAGAGCTTTCACCGTGAAAATCAACGGCTTTGCTCTATGTCTGTGATGGCTAGTTGATTTTTTGGCATAGCTCCCTCATTTGCTGGGAAACCCAGGATACAGCAGCACCCTCTAAGCCTCAGAAACCTAAAAGGTGACCGACGCATTTGGGGCATTTCACTCAAAAGCAAGAAGAAGCCTTCAGTAGCGCTTTCCAGCCCTTGACATACAGCAACTACTCCATCGCAGATATAGACTGAATCCTGTATTTTCAGAAGGTACACATGCCATGTACTAAGCATGGTATGAGCAACTGTTCATCTGAAATTGTCAGTTTAATGGCTTCTCTGATCCACTGTGCCTTGCTGGGAGTTGCTTGCCAGTTTTTGGCAATGCCTGAAGCCCTTAGCTGAGAGGTCAATAAGTTATTTCATGCATCCCCATGTCTGCTCTCCTTCCAAGGAGACCAGTGATCCCAAAAAAAGAAGGCATGGTGGCTTAACTGCTGGGCCTGATTTTCTTCTCCCTTGCCCACTCATGCTGGCATTGCTCTCAAAGCACTTCCCTGCCATCTCCCGTAGTGCTTTGGGAAAGAGCTGAGTTCCAGCCTTGCCTTGTCAGCATTGAGACACCTGTGGAGATGCAATAGGCAGTAGAAGCGGGGACACTCCGACACCCTGCTACTCCTCTCAGCTTCCCTTGAGCCCACCATACTATGGCAGGGATGGTACTTGCTGTACCCTCTGCTGAACCCACTGCTTTAAATTTGCAGGTGGAATAGGAGCTATTTTTAAAGGCTTCACAAGCCCCTAGAACAGCTGCCTCCAACATCAATCGTATTAGAAAATCCCCACCTGGCCAGTGTGGAGTAAATAATTTTGGTTGTGCCCTTAAGCCAGAGGAGGTAGGGCATTTAGTCTTGTTCCAGAAAATCCTGGGCCAGGAAGCACTTTGTGCCTCCCCCATGCTACTCCTTGAATCCTGCCATTCAGTCCTTAT